TGAGTTGCTTAGGGCCTCTCTAAGTTGCTGAGTCTGTCTTTGAACTCCTGATCCTCCTGTCTCAGCCTCCTGAACCACTAGGATTACAGGTGTGCACCACAGTGCCTGGCTGTTATTTGTATTTTATCACAATAAAGCTCAAATAACAGAGCTCCACAGGCAGAGGAAGTATGCCTGCCCCTTCAGCTTAGAGTCAGTACTCTAGTCCAAAGGGACATGCAAACCAAAATTTTAACAAATACTTACTTATGTCTAAGGATGCCCAATACCTAGCTGATCTTTATCATCTTGGTAAAAAAAAAAAAATCAAGTAGATACTAAATAACTGGTCTGCTTGCTTGTTCTGCTGATTAGTCAGTGGCCTTAAAAAGGTTCCCAACAAATATGATGCCTGGCATGCTACACTGGCTACACTGACATTCTTCCACTTGACAATGACAGATTTTACCTTGAAAAAAATGTTTTAGGAAGCACAAATCCTTTTAAGAGGAAAAACTATTAAAAATTAAAATTAATGAAATGGAAAAAAACAAATTCTAGCACAAGTTGTTTAGAAAGATATTTCTGCCAAAAAGTCACCTAAAAATGCTTTAATAGAAGTTTTTTCCCCTCCATATCAGAAAAATAGGGATGATGTGATATAATTTCTAGACCATTTAATATCAGAAAGAAATTTAATATGAATTTATCCAAAGCTAAATTTTTCCTGAAACATAAGGAATGATTAAGAGTCTTTCATAAGATTGATGAGGCCAAGGTTCTAGCAATTAAAAATGAACAGCATCCTAAAGATGAATTTGTATGCCTAGCAGTTAACTTGGAAATAAATCTCTTAAGTTGTTTCAGGAAAGTTAGAAAGCAGATAAAATTGCTTTCATGAAACTGACCCTAAGTAATTCCAAGTCTGCTAAAGTAGTAATTTATTTCAGTTTGTATCATGTTAAAACTTGGACTGAGGTTTTAAAAAGCCTGTCAACTCCAGGATTCTGATGGAGCTTTAGATGAGAACAGGGAAATAAGAAAGATAATGCCTTGCTGGAAGACAGATGTACAGTTACCACATCAGGAGCAGGTATTTTAAAAGCCACATGAGTTGGTGAAAGTCCAGTAAATAAAGACTAGTTACAGGCATATGGCCCTAAGGGACATACATAGAATTTTGATAAAGTACAGGAAACACAGGTTCTATAAATCTATATTTATGTCTATCTATTTATCTATTTATCTATTTATCGATTCATCCAAACAATCCAGGAATTTGTAGAAGGATTTCAAGAGTAGAATTCTCATGGGATGAGATGAGGATAAGTTTGATCTTGGCCACAGGTACCTGAAGGCAGTGTAGGTGAGGTGGGAAAAAGTAAAGATGAGGAGAAACAGAAGTTGGAAATCAAGAACTCTAGTTCCAGTGGAAACCAACCCCAGAAATCAAGAAGAAACATGAAACCTCAGACAATGAAAGCAGAACTAGCAGCAGATCTGAAAGGATGCCAGGCAAAAGAATTGCAGACACCACCCGACTGACTGAACATGGCATGGAAAAACACCAAAAGCAAGTTGCTTTGATGCTAATTAGAGCAACTGAGATAGGGGCTTCTGTTTTTGGATTCCAGCCTACACTGTGAAAGAGACCACGATATGGGCATCCTTGCCAAAAATGTTCTTCACTTTAAGTTTGCAGGTACATGTTTGTTTTGCTGCAATCTCATGATGGGGTGGCACAACCTGTCCTTGTCCAAACATTTCAACAGGGTTGGTTAATCCCTACTGAGCAATCTGGGGAACAATGACACCTACTGTTTGAGCTGCTGTAACTGCAATAAACTTGACACAGGATGGTGGCAGGTGTTGATTTGTAGCTACTATTTCCTTCCTTTTCAAAGAAAGACAAATGGTTCTCTGTTGATTTAGGCTAAGCTAAAGAAGTAGTAGTTAGAAAAGACCGAGTTGTTATCACAGCAGATGTTTGATTTAGAATAAAAATGAGTGCCTGACTCTAACAGCCCTACTTCATTACAGAAAGGATGGAAAGCAACTGAAATGTACAATAGACTAACATGTAGTTCAGCAGTCACTTTTAAAAGAAAATTTCAAGCTGCAGAAACTGAAATTCTATAAGGTGACAAATGGAGCAAGGTAACAATTGCATGTGCCCTGCATCTCTGCCCCTACCAAGACACCAACACTGCTTATCTCCACTCCAAAAGCTGGGTTCCCGTGATCAACTTTTATTATCTACTCTCCTTCCTTTGAGACTAGGGGGCTGCTCTGTTCTTATCTTCTGTTTTCCCTGAGGACTGCCCACTCCAAGACTTATAATAACAAAAGTTTATTGTTGCACCTCATGCTGATCTTTCAGAATTAACCACCAAACTGAACACCTCACTACTGATAGCTGACCACCCCATCCCCTCTGCCTGGCTATTCATGGGTGAATGTATCTTCTGTGAGTACCCATCTCATCAGATGTGTCTCATCTCTTGATTTCTCTTTTTGAGAAAACCCTGGACAATCAACACTATCAAAATACCATATATAATTCTCAATATTCCTAGTTAGGGCAGAGAGTAGTTTGTAACTATCAATTCAAAATACCATATATAATTCTCAATATTCCTAGTCAGGGCAGAGAGCAGTTTGTAAATATCAATTGCTTTTTTCTTTCTAAAGACATGCAATATTATTCTGAATTTAAAAGGGCCAGTGTAATTTCTCATCTTGTTAACAAATCACTTAGGAATTCCTGAGTCTTGCAATAGCTCCCCTTTTGAGCATTGCATTAAAGGACTCTTAAGTAATAAAGTAGGAGGGAAAGACAGAAAAGACAAGGAAGCTACAGAAATGTATAAATATATTTAGAACATAAAGTGTGCACTAATTTATAATTATCAGTAGACATGTCATGTTTCTAGTGTGCCCCCCTCCCCCACCAAATCTGGAGCTTAATCACAATTAACAATCATGTTTTCTTTCTTCTAGTTAAATGTTACATGCTAGAATAACCCAAGTCTGTCTAAAACAAGCCATGCAAATAATTGAAAAAAAAAAGGCTCATGTTTTATTAGATTCTCCCTCCTTCATGTCAAGCGGGTGATAAAAAAGTTGAATTAACTTGTATCAAACTAATTCATACATTATTTCTAAGACCATCATATAATGTTATTCAGAAAAAGAAACTATTTTTAAATTTTAAATTTCAGACTAAAAACTTACTGCTTCTGCATTTATGAAATAGCTCCACTTAGTTTAAATTTCCATCGTATGACAAAAATGCCTGCTGGTAAATTTTGCTTTTTGTACTATAAATGTGGACTAGTGTGCATGTTTTAGTCTTTTTTCCCCTAATTTCAGTTTCCCTTAAATTTTAGTTTTTTTAATGATTTCTATGAAGATAAAATAGCTTCTACTGAAAGTTCAGTAAATACATTATTTTACTTTACTTTCATAGTGAAAATACACAATTTTTTAAAAAATCGTATTATTAGTTAACTACATATACTTTCACGCTATATAACACCATTATGTTTCTTTGAAGACTTTAGACTAATAAAATCCATTTCCTCCAATACTTTAAAGATAATTCAATTCTAGGAAAAACACAGATTGACATTACCCAGAGTAATAAAATTAAGATATTCAGAGAAATAGTTCTCATTAGCTAGCATGATCTGGTGCTATAGTGTCCCATATTGTGTAAAACTTACTTTTTATTTATTACTTTTCACTAATAGGTAATAATCATTTGTTTGATATTACTGTGAATATTTACATAATGAATGCCAGAGACACTATGCATTCAGCAACAACATGCTCATTTGTTCACAGTAATTGCATAGTTGAGCTAGCCTATGAACCAGAATATGCTGATCTGGTTGGCAGGAAACAGGATGAAAAAAAATGGACCACCATGTTGTCTCAAACTGAAACCTCAAATGTTCCCTCTCTTGCCACAAAGTGATTATGCAACATGCTACGAGTCTCTAAAGGGCAGAACATTACCCAAAAGCAGTTACTTGGCTAAGCCTGACGTCCTATGACACATTTCTGAGCTATTGGTGGTAGAATTATACTCTAAATCTAACTCTGTGTCTATTGCAACAAATTAGATTCAAAATAAGTAAATAAAAAAAATTATGCATCACATAGCCTGACATTTTCTTTTAAAAGTAGGCTTCAAAATTGAGGAAAGACTAAGAAATTTCAACATCTTTAATTTACATTTTCAGACATATTTTCCGAGTCTTGAAGTGGGTAGGTAGATAATTAGGAATGAAATGCAACCAGGGGAACTTGGTTCTAGGTGATAGCTCACTCAGACAGTTCACTGAAAATCTTGCATGAGTACAACAGGCATTCAGCCAGTGGGGAAAAAAAGTGATCTAGTCTAGCATCTACTTTGAATTGTGATAACTTGACTGGTTTTAAGAGTTGTCATCTTGGTCTTACAAACTTTAGAATATAATTCTCTAACTTCAAACTTGATAAATGTTTAGCTTCCTACTCTGCAGTAAATAAGCTCTTACTACCCAGGATGTCTTGTGTAAGTTGCTCCTTGGATGTGCCTTGCCCCCTCCCACCTCTTATAGGTGGAGAACAGATTTTTTTTTTTTCCCCCACTCAGTACTGGGGATTGAACCTGGGCCCTTAAGCTTGCTAGGTAAGTGGTCTACTAGCATGACACATTCCCAGTCAGATGTTTAATTTATGTTACAGCCTAATCATCAAGCAGTTTTTAAAATGAGAATGTTCACCTTGACATTTGTGAATTTAGAACAAAATATCTAATTTTAGTCTTTTCAACTATACTAAACATTTAAAAAAAGATTTCTTAAACCAAAGAAGGATAGATATATCAAGAATAAAATACAGCTTCAGCAAGCTTAGTCTGACTCCAGGGTAGAATATCCTACAGTAAAATATTAAAGTGGACAAATCAACCCCCCAAAGCCATAACCCTCCTCCGTTCCCTGTAGTAAATCAGCAAAAAAGCAAATAAATACCTCAAATAGAAAGGTGACAAGGGTCTTTCATCTTCCTGCGAACTAAAAGGAAAATAAATTTTGAGTTAATATAATTTCTGTCAATAGAACATGTCAATTTTTCTAAAACTCTGTTCTACCTGTCACAAATTTTGTTTTGGTACATTAGCAGTAATCTCTGGAGGAAGTTAGTAAAAATACACTGTCCCTCAGACCTAACCAAGGTTGATTACTTCCATCAAGAGAGGCTTCTTTCCAGATGTGCCTAAGGCAAAAGTAAATCATAGCACAATTTCCAGAAGAAGCTTCCCACTTCCTTATTTCACAAGTCCGATTCAAGTACTCAGACATTATACCAAACTCTTCAAATGATCACACACACCATTACCTGAACAAAGTTAACTGTAGCTTTGTTAACTGTAACATGACGATGAAAAGTGAGAAGTAGCCTAGAAAATATTCCTGTTACATGTGAACCGCTTCAGGAAGGTCCCCAGCAAGGAAGAGCAAGCACACCAGTGAGTCAACACGCATGCTCTTGTGTTCTTCCTACAGTTGCTCTACTAAGTACTAACTAGTGGGGAAAATATGAAAGGACATAAAGGAAATTGCAGGCATAGTTTAAGTTCCTCAAACAGCATAGAAGCAATGGGAAGCTTAATATAAAGGCATCTAGTCTTCAAAAATGTAAAATATATGCTGTAATTATTTTTTCTTTCTTTTATATGACTTTTTCTTTAAAAAAATATCTGAAAGTATAAAGTGCTTTGTTTTCTTAAGGATCATGGATCAAAAGGAAAATGTTTGCTTCAACTGCAACAATCTTACTACAGAGTTATAATCTCTCTCTCTCTCTCTCTCTCTCTCACACACACACACACACACACACACACACACAAATTTGTTCTAGGAGTTAAAAGATTTAACATTCCAACTGGAATATGGCACATAAAATATAACACACTAATTTTGATCCTCTCCTGATCTGGGTGTGCAATTTCCATCTAGTTTATCTACTCTAATACCTAAGTTGTCAAAGACATTAATGTTTATGATTAACTGTGCTAATTCTTTCCATGTGAAGAATAAGTGATAAGTGATGGATCAGCTTTACTCTAACATGGATGGGTTCAGGGCAAAGCTTGTTGAGCTAAGTTGCAGAGATTATGAGTTAGAAGTGACAACATCTGGGAAATGGCCAGGTGTTCTGGGACAAAAGCACTTGAAGCGGCATAGGAAGTGACTGCTTTAAGCTAACCTGACACAGTAGCTTACATATGTGGTTTCAAACTATTCCTAGAAAACACTTAACAAGAGACTTACAAAAATTAGGATTGGGTTAGTTTCCTAATGAAGGAATCTATGTCTTAAAGTACTAATTCTGAACAACACTAGGCCAAAAAAGCTACCACTAAAAAGTATAATGGTTTTATATTGTTAGAGGAAAACTGCCACTTTCTTTGCCCAGAACAGATCGCTAATGCTAATATGTAACAAATTAAAGTGAAAATTAGTATGCTTACCTTAATATAGTTTGTTGAACATTCAATTAGGAATATGTTTGGTTTTTTTTAAGAGGCACTTCTGGGAGATGATGTAGATCCTGTAGGACTCTGAACACAGATATTCCTGTGCTTCAGCTAATGTTTTCTGAGGGTACGTGCTAAATTTCTTTGTAGTAGAGTCAATTCTTTCTTCCTTTCCACCCTGCCTCCCTCACATATTTATTCATTAGGATTGAGGGCCAGTACTACCCCAGGGGTTCCAAATTAGTCATCTCACTATGATCCTGGAAAAACACCCTCCCTGTACTTGGCCCTTGCTTTCCTTTTTTATTCAGATAAAAAAGCAGCCTCAGAAAAGGTGCATAACTTATTCAGATGACACAGATTGTGATGCAACACTATCTGTGACTAGTGACTTACATGCTTTGGTATCACATGTAAGTCCATTTTGGTTGTTTATTGTCTTCACCTCAATTTTAACCTACAAAATATGGTGCAATGACTAGGTTATGGGATGCCCATAATCCAGCAGCTGTCAAGGACATCCTGTAGAGTACATAAGCTTCTTGTCAAGCTTTTTATTCTACCGGCTCTACATCCTTAGTCCTAATGCATTATGACTGATAGCATTTATAAGGCAATCATTAAAACATAGTGGTGGTATGTCAGGAATGTCTCTTGATAGAAAAACAAGGTTTTGATCATAAGCAAACGTTTTTTTTAGGCTCCATTTGCATAAGGTGTATTTGTCAACGAAAAACAAAATAAGAAATTCTGAATGAGGATATGTCCCTGAAGTTTGACAAAATTTAATTGTTCTAAAAGAGAAAATGTAAGCAATGAAATTGAGACAAAATGAAACAGATTCTGTATATTACTTAGTCAATAGAAAGCACTCAATGGGGTGCAAATCCATGCACAGAACACCTCCACACCCCTAAAACAAAAACCCACTATAATTTGAAAAGAAAATGAGGGGCTAATAAAAATTTTCATAGGTAATAAGCATATTTTTCCTTTTCCTTTCATAAAAATACCCTTGCCTGGGATTTAGGAATATACTCTTGACAAAAGTGTAAATCTGAAACAACTAAAACATTGATTTTAAGTTTATTAATTTTTAAAATCAATATGCTACCTTGATTTTTTTTTTTTTGTACTGGAGATTGAATCCATGGGTACTTAATCACTGAGCCACATCCTCAGAATCACACACACACACACACATAAATTATTAGAGACAGGGTCTCAGTTGCTTAGTACCTCACTAAGTTGCTGAGGCTGACTTTGAACTCATGATCCTCTTGCTGGGATTACAGGCATGTGCCCAGCACTACCTTGATTTTTTGGGGGGGATATCAGGGATTGAACTCAGGGGTTCTTGACCACGGAGTCACATCTCCAGCCCGATTATTATTATTGTTATTTTGTATTTTACTTAGAGACAGGGTCTCACTAAATTGCTTAGCGCCTCACCATTGCTAAGGTGCTATCTCAGCCTCCTGAGCCAGTGGAAGTACCTTGATTTAAAAAAAAAATGTAAAATATTTATTTTTCAGTTGTAGTTGGACACAATACCTTTATTTTATTTATTTTTATGTGGTGCCCAGGATTGAACCCAGGGCCTCCCACATGCTAGGTGAGGGCTCTACCACTGAGCCCCAGTCACCTTGATTTTTGAAGGCAGTTTTAAGGGGGAAAAAAAATGGCCAAGGACAATACTGCTCAATAGAATTGAGAAAAGAAACTTTTCCATAGAATTTACAATTCAGAATACAAAACATTTGAAAATATCACCAATTCTACATAGCTGTGCAAAAAAAGATACTGTGCTTTTATTATAAGCCCCCCAAATTTATTTACATAGGTTATTTATGCCTGTTCCTAGCTTTGTGTCAATCTCAGTCATGTCCAGTGATATTAAAGAATCTTACCTAAATTCCAATTTGAGCATAATTTGTAAGAACTTTTTGTCTAAGTTCTAAATTTAGAATTTTGATTCATGTTTAGATTTTCAAAATAAGCAGGTGTGCTGTGAAGAAGGAATCGTGTGTCATGAAATGATGTCAATGACAAATTGTAACAATTAGGAATCCATTAGATCCTCCTTGGTTACCCTATATCAATTCCATGTTTTAATTATTTCCTATTTGCTGACTCTGGATAATAGTGAAGTTTAAGCAGATAATTCATTTTTTAAAAAATTCAAATGTACATTGAGAGATTTGGGCAATCACCTCATTAATGTCACATAATCAAGTGCTTATTAGCATCTTTAAATATGTGGTATTATATTCTCTCAAAACAATTGCCTATGGGAGAACATTTATTGAAGAGATCCAGATCTAAAAATCTACAACTGAATATGGCAATAGTTTGGACATTAGGACTTTGGTGGGGTCCTAATTTATTTTTTATATAGCCTAAATGCATATGAATAAATGATGCCTAGATTCAATCTGTTCATGAGCTGCACAAATTTCTAAACTGAAGCCACAAAATGAAATGCCTATCAATTGGACAGGGAGCTAACTGCAATCAAGAAAAGCATGGGGTTTCACATGTCTAAGAAAAACCAAATACTGTTGGTAGAATTCCCAGAATGAGGTATTCAGAATGGACTTCAATTATTAGATCAAACCACCACTCCATTCAATTTCCTTTTCAATTGTCCTCATAAATGGCCCAATTAGTTCAACTTTCTAATTGGTTAATGTGGCTGGAGACCAAGAAATTAACATAATTTGCATATTTAACAATACACTTTAAATACATTTTCAATTGATTCCAGATTGAAAAAAATAGTTTGTAATTGTTCCCGGAGTACTGAAAAGTATAGAAAAATAAGTAAATGCTCAGGATTAGGCTCCATTCATTGAAGAAACTAGGAAAACCATGTATAGGGGCTTAAAAAAAAAAAAAAAACAACAAAAAACCAGTTAAAGAGAGGAAGCGAGGGACAAGAGAAGCAAAGTACTAAGCTAATTTTTTTTTTTCCTAAAACTCAGGCTTTTTCCTCACATATTGCAGAATGTGCTAAGGGGAAGAATTTTCCTAGAGAAATTTTCTTAGAAAATGATGAGGGAAGTGATGTTAGCACATTTTCTTTTCCTTCCATCCTCTCAAAATATAAAGTGTCCTGCTTACTCCAGTGTTTAGCTCAGCCACTGTCTCAGGCCTTAGCTGTCCCTTCCTCCACTACCACTGGGCAGTGAGGTAGCAGCTTAGGTTTTTGGTTTGACCCCATTCAGGAACATTAACATAAAAAAATAAGAAAAACCAAAGCCCCTATTCTTTTTGGAAAACAGACATAAGAGTGTCAGACTCAAAGTTCAATGTTTGTGGCTATAATTTTGGGAAGATATTTTACAATTCTGTCTTGGAGGCCCAAACAGCTTAATTTATAGTTTTAATTTTGTACTTCGTTACTAAGAATTTAACACCTAGCCACTAGAAATATAAACAAACTACTGCTGTGCCAGAGCAGATAAATTGTCCTAATCAAAAGATAAATGCAAAGAACTGCAGCTGTTAATACTCACAGGACATGAATTTTTA